ATGTGGACATGTTAAGCTCAGGCGGGGCCGCTTCTATGATATCCTGTGCCAATTCCTATGCAGCTACTTAGTTAGCCGCTGCAAGTACCCACACCATAGCACCCTTTGCAATTAGTGTAATTATATTGCTGTTTCATCAACTACTTCATAACATTTTAATAATGGCTTACTATTGTACGCAGGTTCTCTTGTTGTCTGAAGGTTTTCCCCTGCGATAGGTACGTTAAGTTACTTCCCTTCAATTGGGGAACAGAACCTAATATTATCGCTCTTACAGGTGCCATGACGCTGCAACGGATCATCCAAATGAACATGCCAACCGAATGATATGGTAAGCTGGGCTTCTACACTTTTTACTTACTCTCGTAAATACCGATCAAATTCTCTCGCAATTCTTCCTTCACGAGATTCCTTTGCATGTACTTATTTTTCCTCGCCTATTTTTAGTGGTTTTTGCTCCCGTGAGCAGATCTACCGTCCAGAGAGCTGTGGCATCTGCCACTCGACACTCACTAGGAAGACTGGCAGTGGGTTTTGGGAAGGGGGTAAGGGAACGAGAGATAGGAGGCGAATGAATCGGAAAGGTATGTATATGTTTATTTCCATGGTTTTGGGCACCTTCTTTGCTGCCGTGATCCCAACATCTCCTCTCCCTATGTTGGTGATTTTGCTGTTAAATGGGGCGTTAGATCCGAGAAAATATAAGCGACGAGGAGGAACGGCGTAGGGTTCTTCGGCGTAGAAGAAGTGAGGGAAATGCATGTATAAAATTATGGGTAATGGTGTATGTACTGTACATTTTATTATTGAGCCAGAAATGATAGGCTTGTATACATATGTTTGGCCAGCATCATCCAAAGCTGCGGGCCCATCCTTCATTTTTCATTTACCACTGTTCCATTTCCCAACGATGTTCCATCCGTTGCGGTTCTCCGGGTATGGAAATGGACTTGTGTATGGATTCGACTCTCTGAATTCATTTTACTTGCCGTAACATTTGTTTCTCACGCTTTTTGCTCGATGCCGTAACCTACGAAGGCGTCCGGGTATGCTGAAATGACCTGCGATAAGTAGAGCTTTGTGTACGGATTTATTATGTCTGTGGTTGACGCCGAATCTCTTAGCTGCACCAACTCATATGAACAATGCGAGAGCTTAGCGAGAAGAAAGAAGAGGGAGGAAGTGGAATAAGTAATCCAAGGTAATATTGATCCCAGGAGAGAATCCTTGAATCTCTGGGATAGTTTATCTAGTTCGACAAAATCGTAAAACCCAAAAAACTTTGAAACTCGCCAGTTCCATTGCACAATACCGAATATCCCCCCCGGGTACACTCTCAAGACTATTGACAGAGCTATACATGTTAGATCTAGAAATATAGTGAATAAAAGTGTTTCTAAAACAAATTAGAGGCATTAATTTAATCCGTCAGTCCCATTCGCGGATCATCCCAATCCGCGGGACGGGAACACATTCCCCTTCAATGCACAAGGTCCTTCCGCCGCAGCAGTCTTCTCGAACACGGCATGTCATAGGACACTCCAGGCGGCGTTCTGCGAGCTCTCCGGATGGAAGGGCTAGTGCATTGCTGATAAGCGATGCGTAGGTGAGGAAGAGCGGGAGAGAGAACGCTCCGTATGTTTTCATGGTGTCTGTATGGGTTTGTTAGCTGATTGGTTTCTCGCGGGCCTGAGAAAGTGAGCGGATATTTGATATCTTCTAGGGAGGGGAAGGTGTAAAGGGGGATCAGGGTGGTTCACTTGGAAGAACTATATTTTTATTGCTGTGCGGCTTTGAATGTGGGGCCTGTTTGTGAAATGGGAGGACACTTCAATACTTTTTGAGGAAATTTTCCTGTAGAGGTTTGAAGTAGAGGTCTTAATAAAAGTCGACAGGACAATTTGTTAAATACCCAACATCATGACCTAGCTCTTATGCTAGCATAAATGAAGTCTATCTGAGAAGATATCAATATCAGCACTTGTATGTAGGAGCTGATTATGGTGAATAAGGATGTGCTCATGCTGTGCTGAATAAATCAGTATGAATAACATAAATACATTGACCCAATAACAAATGAGCTCCATTCAAGAACAGAATGACATACCCAATAGTGTGTCTTGACTGCACGCGAGTCTGCAAACATATCATGTGTGTGTAAAGGGACTTGAAGAATGCCTGCATAACTGCTCTGTTTGAGAACAATGAAAATGTCCTTGTTTCTTTTATGCAATGCCAATGCAAAATTATTAGGACACTGTATTTTGCGGTAGATAGGCATCTTCCATTGAGAAATTCTAGCAGCCGTGAGGGTTATGGTCCAAAGTGAATATACTTCCATGACCTGATACATGTCCATATCTGTAGCAGTTCAGAGCGCCTAGATTCGTTGTATGCTAATTATTAAGGAAACGGGTCGGCAGTGGTTTACTGAAAAATATCAAACAAGATATATAGTCATGCAGTGAGCTGAAGTGTGTTTTGATATTGAGGTTATTTAATACAACTAGGATTTGGTTCCTTGTCCAAGTCCCAGGCATGCTAGTTGAGTTTCACTGATGAGGCTTGAAGTGGATCACAAACAATGGATCAGTCAATGCTGAAATGTGCTGGTAACAGTAGAGCTAGTAAATAGCTAGGCTTAGCTGAAGTGCAAAGAAGGCAAATAAGCAAAGTGCATGTAATAATGTACCAAGCGAGAGCATTATTGGTTGTTCTTGGGATGGAAGCTGGATGAGCTTGATAAAGCCGGCCAAGTCACATGATGCCAAATGCACTCTGCTTGGGTATTTAACCATCTCACAACACATGCGAACAACACCCCGGGGAGCTTTGAAACGCCCAACATCAGCAAGATGTCTTACGCGCTGGCTACCAAGAAGCGGAAATTTCACAGGGTTCTTGACTCGCTGTCCGGCGCCAATGTACAGAAACCTTCCAATGCAGACTCTTCGACAGCCAAAGATGCCTCTCCCACCCCAGCGAAATATCCAACTATCAAAAAGGTACGGTTGGCTTCGTCGGGCTCCGTAACCGACTCCGAGGATATGATTATTAGGCCTTCCGTGTCGAATATACCCCGACACTCCTCTCTGTCCCCGTCATCACAGCAGCGCCCAAATTTCGTACCATGGGACCGTGAGCGATTTCTCGAGCGGCTCGAGACGTTCCGCAGAGTAGATCGATGGTCGCCAAAGCCAGCTGCCATAAATGAGGTTCAATGGGCAAAGCGCGGGTGGTCGTGCGTGGATGTTATGCGGGTAGAATGTGTGGGTGGCTGTGGTCGTGCTGTTGTTGTGAAGCTGCCAGAAGAGGTGGATGATGTGGGCGACGATGATACTGACAAAATTATTGAGCGGAGGGAAGTTGGTATGTACATCGCCCGATTCTCCCTCTCTTTTCGATAAAATTTTAAACTTTCTTTCTGACTGGATAGTAGAGGCTAGATTGGTGGAGGAATATTCCAAACGAATAGCAGCTGGCCATGCGGAACGTTGTCCGTGGCGGAAAAGTGGATGCGATGGTAATTCTGACTCGCCTTCTAGATGGAAAAGTGAGAATTGGGATTTGCTAACACCTGAATTTAGACACTATTCAGAGGCTGCCGCTCACAAATCCGGAAACAGCAGTAAATGGTCTACATGCGCGTTATTTGAATCTTGCCCGTCTCGAGTCTAAATTACCCCCAATCGAAAACATCGAACCGCCGTCTAAACTGGATTTAGACGGAACCATCAGTATATTACCTCCGGCATTGCTAGGTGGTAACCTAGAGCCCGAAACACAGAGAGAAACACGAAGAGAAACTACCAACAATACCCCCCAGCCAGCCACCAAGAATGGCGATAGTCACGGCAATATATCTTCCCAGAAGATAGGAGCCGAACTAAATAAAGCGGCGTTTGTACTTGCGGCTTTTGGCTGGGATGCTGGCCCCGATGTTGGCGCAGGCTTAGCAACATGCGGTGCCTGTTTCCGCCGGCTGGGATTGTGGATGTATAAACCCAAGGAGGATGGGAGTGTTTCTGTGTACACTAAACTCGACGTCGTTGATGAGCATATGGATTACTGCCCATGGGTCAATCCGAAAACGCAGAGTGGTGGCGGGAAACCTGGCTTACATGGTTTCAACGGTAAACCGCAGAGCGGCTGGGAGATTTTGAGCCAGGCGATTAAGACTATGCATCGTCGACGGACGAGATGTGATGTGCCATCAACTTCCGCTGAGATAACTAGTCAGGAATCTCTGGCAAGTCCTGGAGAAGCTAAGGTTGATGACGATGAAACGCAGAAACTACGGGATAGAGAATGGTGGACTAAACTGCGGAGAGTGAGGCAGTCATTACACGTGAAGGGGCTGAAGAAAACGAAATGAGCTGCTGGGGATACGAGAATTATATCACTTGGTTAATAATGACGATCCGATCTTTGGCATATTTTCAAGCGGGCCTTTCTTGTTGGTTTTGCGATTCCTCTGGTTTGCTTTTCCAAGCATGTATATTACATTTATACCCATCATGTTCATTCAGCGTCCAATTTCCATCGAGTGTTATGATCTCAATATTCTGCTGCTTTCTCCAATGGCAACGTTCTTGAGCTCTGTGGCTGAAATCCACCACGTAGATACCTCCATCGATGTACAGTGCCGTCTCATAAGTTTGAGACTTTCGTGATTTCCAGACAAATAGTGTGCCGTGATATTTAAATGTGCTCATTTATCTCTATTCTTCTTACATATTTTCTTTAAACTAATAGTAACTAGCTCTATTCTATTCATGTGTTTTCTATTCTATCTATTACAATGTCAAATTGGGTGACTGCAGCAGTGATTAGAGACAAATGAATGATATACAAAATATTGCAATTTGGGAACTGTACCTAGGGGTTTGGTACGTACCAATAAAGACAAGGGCCCTGTCAGATTACCTCAGCAAGGCTCAACGGGCACGTGACTTTTACTCCAAATGCGATTTTTTGACAACGCTCGACATACCCCGTCGCCAGTATGCAATTAGACAGAAATGGCTGCGCGCACCCCTGCTGACAGAAGACGTGCTTCCATTACAATGTACGATCCAGCCCGAGACACGTATACCGTCTCTGATGATGGTCCTCCACTAGCTAGTGCGGCAGAGCGCATCAAGGTTCATGAACTAGCCGAAGAGGAACAGACGAACGATGAAGCTTTGCGTTCACGAGGATCCACACCCGCCCATAATAATGAAGAGAAGAGTCCTTCATACAACTCTTTAAAAAAGGTATACTACCGCTTATTTTGAAGTTAAACTACATCCGTTTAAAGGGCACGTCGCGTCGCCGTGGGACGGGTTTAACCCATGTTTCGGCCCGCTTGGTTTTCCTCCATTCTTCCTAGCTTTCAAGCGCCTGGTGGGACTGATCTGGACCCGTTGGCGGGCTTATTCTGCAGGAGACTCCGCCCATCCACTCCACGCCGCAGGAAACTATCAATAGTGGCGGCAGGGGCTCAAAGCCTGAAAGAAGCTTCTCTCCACCTCACAACCATAACAAAAATAACATCACCAAACACTCGTCGACTTTTCTTTCGTCTCATTCTACCCACAAGAAACAGACCCCTTCCGCTGCTCCTTCTTTTATTCCAATGGGCTCTTCCTCGGATATAGCGCACGGTGAATATTTCCTAGCACCCTTCAAAATGCCCAGGAAAATATAGGAACAGCCTCTAATGTTCACGACCTTCAATATAGATGAATTGCCACGCAGTGGTGGACCATCCTCCCAGAGCCCCAAATCAACTCACAATGGACACGCGGAACCACTAGAGGCCCGACAAAAGAATAAGACCGATAGCAACGAAAGGAAGAGAAAATTGCCGGAAAATGACCCCCAGCCCGAAAAAACAGAACCCGCCCCCGAACAACGACCGGTGTCAAAGCGCAAACGGCAGGAAGAAAGTTCACTGAAGAATAAAAAACGTGGAAAGGCCCCGCCATCTGCTTACTCACTTCGCGATCGCTCTCCCGATTCAAGACATAGAGGCCTCCAAACGCGCAGGTCACCGTCACCTTCTCCAATACGGCGTTCTGAATCCCCAGATGCTTCTGCCCCAAGACAAAGAAAGAGACCGGGTGGAGCAGCTCGGATCGGGTCTGCAAATCTTGAAGCGCTGAAACACAGACAGGAGGAACGAAGACGGCAGATGGAGGAGGAAGCCAAGTTGGCATTGCGAGAGCGTGGAGTCCACGATGTCGTTCGTCAACATTACAATGCGGTTCCGGAAAGAGGTAGGGAATGGCGGAAGACAGATAGCAGAATAAAGGGCCTGCGAAGTTTTAACAATTGGATTAAAAGTACGGTTATCCAGAAGTTCTCTCCTGATGAGGAATTCTTGGCTCGAACAAACGGGAGGGATTGGGCTGGCGCGGAGCCTGCAGAAGAGAAAAAGCTGCTTGTCATCGATGTGGGATGTGGTAAGGGGGGTGATCTGGGCAAGTGGCAGCAGGCTCCGCAACCGGTAGATCTTTACGTGGGCTTGGATCCTGCGGAAATATCTATCGAACAGGCTCGCGAGAGATACATTAGCATGAGAAGAGGGAAGGACAGGATTAGGGGTAGAGGTCATCCACTCTTCCATGCGGAATTTTATCCTAAGGACTGTTTCGGTGAATGGGTTGGTGATATTCCGATTGTGCAACAAGTCGGTATTGACGGAAGCGTTGGGCCTGATGGGTCGATGATGGCGGCTCGATGGGGCGGTGGTGGCTTTGACATTGTCGTCTCCATGTTTAGCATGCATTATGCCTTTGAGAGCGAAGAGAAGGCCCGGCAGATGCTGCACAATGTCGCTGGTTTGTTGAAGAAGGGCGGCCGTTTCATCGGCGTAGGGCCCAATTCAGACGTGCTCAGCGCCAAAGTTGTGGAATTCCATGAGAAAAAGAAACAGCAGGAGGTTGCTGCCGCTGCCGCGGCTGCTAAGCTTGATAGTGAGCGTGAGGATGGTGAAGTGGAGGAATCGCCAATGACAGTACCCGAGTGGGGGAACAGTATCTATCGCGTCCGGTTCCCCGGCGAGACGCCCGAGGATGGTGTTTTTCGCCCTGCGTTTGGCTGGAAATATAGCTATTTCATGGAAGAGGCTGTTGAGGAGATTCCGGAATATGTCGTACCATGGGAAGCTTTCAGAGCGTGAGTAGCACACAGTATATACGCCTATTACATTTTGCACTGAGCCTTGTGCTAACCCATTCTATTATCTTTTCCCTGCTTCAGTTTGACGCAAGATTACAATCTGGAACTTCAATACCGCAAGCCTTTCCTGGATATATGGAATGAGGAGAAGGATGATCCTATCCTGGGACCACTCAGTGAGCGCATGGGCGTTCGGGCGCGAGGAGGTGGGCCTATGCTTGTCAATGAGGAGGAGTTGGAAGCTGCTAGTATGTCTTTATTACTCTGTTTTAACTGTTCTAGGCTGGTTGAGATGTAGTTAGGCTAACATATTTTTTGCTGTAGGCTTTTACCATGCGTTTTGCTTCTACAAGGTCTAACGATGTTCATTAAGCTACTGACTGCTAACTTATTTAACCTCCGTCTACGTGGTGCCCTTGTGATACTACGTCTGTCACATAATTTGCATATTCCATGCCATGCATTTTACGCTAGACATGTTTCCTGTGTTTTTTTGATTTCTTTTTTGTTTATTGGCATTTCGAAATTCGGTTATTCTATCTCATGATGCTCTACTTTACTATAACTTTTACAGAAACTACAATTACGCATACACGAAAACATATGGGCAGGCATAGTCCGGTAGGGTTCCAGTTGATTGGTATCTCTTCATGTTATGTACAGTACATCTATCCACATCTGAAGACTTTGACTTGACACGGCCTGTGATATTCAAACGCTTTCTTCAGTCATATACTTCACATACGACATATATTGATCGTTCAGAGTTACAATCCGCTCTTATGCAGTGAATAAAGCTGAGCACGATTTATGTAGCTTTCAGTAAAATAATAGTATATTCATAGCCACCGTTCTATGTGCCTCACTGATGTCCACGAACGTTTTGAATCCGAAAATCTCAAGCTCAAATGGAATAATATCCTTGACCAAGCGGAGCCATATCACATGACTTCGAGCTTACTAGTCACGTTTTAGCGCCATCACGTCGCGTCTTCCCGCTGTTCTCATCCGCCCAACTTGGAATCTCACTTTAAATCTCATTTACGAGCCAGAGGTTCAACTTGCGGACCTCCTTCTCAACAATATTTCCCATTAACTCACACTTCAGAAACCGAAACCATGTCCGTCAATCACACACCACGCACTAGGCAATCAATTCCCTCGCGCGATACTCCCTTAGAACCCCGAAGTAACAGACCAGCGCGCCGCTCCGATGTCCAGGGAGCAAGCGATCGGCGACAAGGTCAGCCCGCCCGTCGCACTATTCTACAGCTACCCACCTACCAGCCCCAAGTCGCCCCTTTGAACGCCACTACGACACATAAACTCGGCCAACTGCAACGTTTCCCGCATCTGACAACGATGCAGACGCAACTAAAGGCTGCCGCGCAAGCGTTGACGGAGTGCGCGGGAATGGTTAATGATCGACTGGCCGACGCGAAGGCGCGAGAGGCGAGGAGAACGGGGATGAAGAGGAAAGCGGTGGATGTGGAGGATGATGAGGAAGTAGAGCAGGGTGATGGGGAAGGTGAAGAGGTGAATATTAGAATTGTTGATTTGGAAGAGCGCGTGAAGACGATGACAGGCCAGTTGGAGGAGAAGATGCGCCAAATTGTCGATGCGGAGGCGCGTACTATTTCGTTGACGGATGGTTTGAATCGGATTCATCAGCAGGCGGTTGAGGCGGTAGCCGCGCAGCCGCAGGCGAAGCGGAGGAGGATGAGGAGGCGGCCTGGGGAGGAGAGTGAAGAAGATGAAGGGGAGGATCAAGATGATGGTGAACTTTCCGCAGAGGAGGCTCCCCAGATACGAAATGGTGGAACGTCCAAGGTGCTGCGGACGGAATTGAAGGAGAAGAAGGCCCAGTGGAAGGAGACGTCGTTGACAGATCGGTATGCATTCCTCGACTTGTTGCCCGGACACAATCTCATATTTACATATTGATACTCACAAATCATCAATCAGATACACAACCAATGACAAATACATTGGTTTCTACCGCGTAGTGCACGAATCGAAATATCCTGGCGATGAGATCCCGCCTCTCCCGCACCCGTCCACTTGGTTCGCAGACGTTGAACAACCTACTACGGCTACCCTTGGCGAAGCCACAACCACCAACACCTCCAGCGGGGCAAAGGATGCCAAGGTAGAGCCGACTTTAGACGACTCCGATGACCTAGCCATCCGCAGCGAACGAGTCTCCCTCCGCTGCCCAATAACCCTCCTCCCTTTCACAGACCCTGTCAAAAGCATGAAATGTCCCCATAGCTTCGAGCGGACTGCCATCGTCGCGATGATTGAACGGAGTAAGAAGCGCATAATTATCCCTTCTAATGGCAAGCGTGTCCCATGCGTCGAGTGTCCTGTGTGCTCGGTGCATATTTCTATGCATGATCTTGATACGGATGTTGTGACAGTGAGAAGGTTGAGAAGAGCGGAGGAGAGGAGGGAGAGGGAAGAGGAGCAGGGCGGCGAGGAAGACTCGGATGGGGGGGAGGAGGTTGTCGTGGAGAGGCCGGGGAGGAAGGGGAAGGGGAAGGGGAGGGGGAGGGGAAGGGCAGAGGCGAACCCTAAGGGGGAACAGGAAAGCAAGCGGGAGGAATCAAGAGAGCCCAGCATGGTGCCGGATACGCAGATGGTGGATCTTGCTTGATTGATTGATTGATGGATGGATCTATTGCTCTGGGCAATGGTCGAAGCCGCGTAATCCACTCAATCCCACTCTAATGACTCTGTAATCTCTGTTCAATTCAGATCTCAGAGCTCTTCATTCCGAACTTTCCCACTCCCTTTCTATCCACATTCCCCGACCCTTTGAATGAATTATTTCTCTATTCTCTTGTGATCCATCATTTTCCACAAGTGTTCTGATCACCTTGTTACACAATTCCCTCTGAATTAACCTTTAATAAATCTCCCAGAAATGCATCATCAGGCACGCGGGCGGTTATTCGCCGTCTTTCTCTTCGCCCCTAGCGCTTTTCTTCTTCTCCAAACCCACCCTATCAATTCACCTTCGCACCCACGACACCTACAAGCAAAGTTTTCATCCATTCCTCCACTCTCGACCTGGCCTGCCTCACACGTGACACGGCAGCATTCGGCCACTTCGGCCAGCACAGTGGCGCAGATGATGTAAGAATAGAGAATCAAGTTATTAAGTCCGTGTTTTATGCAGATGCTACAGTCTACCTGGTCCAAGGAAAAGACAAAACAGACCGAATATAGATGAAGGGATTTTGGGCAAGTATTTGAAGCTTTTAGTGCAACGGCCCCCAGTCAGCCCGGTTAAGCTTTAACCCCTGGTTGCAACAGCTGTAAGCTTAGCACAGCATGCGGCTTAGGCTCGAGGGACATTAGCTGAACGGAAAAACACTTAAATTATGCCCCGGAATGAAAGTGGACTAGCTACGAGAGACCGTCCGTCAATACTACTAGAGGGGTTGCTCCATGTCTCACCCCGTTTCCGCTCGCTTATTGGGTGATCAGCTCTAGAGCAAGGCATCGGAACTGCACGGTTTAACACATGCGATGGGGTTAAAGGAGGGCGGCTGGATTGGGTATAAGGTTCCTGGCACCGGAACCCCAATCTTACTCAACCTTTCCTGGAAGGCAAGATGATTCGTTCTCGTTTGCCATTATTGGAAAGACATAGGATGTGGTCGCGGAAAGCTGGAAGGTCATTTCTCTGGCAGAGAGCAGTCCATGAAGGACAGTTTGTGCAGGGGTCCTCTGGAGACCCTTAATATCCAGTGTGACGGGGATAGCCAGGGGGGGGGGGGTGTGCGCCTCGCTCTCTTCTGACTGGTCCGATGGAGTTCCTCAGGCAGAATAAGCTCTATGGAAGACATCAGCAGCTAGTGCTCAACTACTGTGATAAAATTGCCCTATTGGTAGAGCTATCCTGGGGTACGGTACGATGTTGTGGATCCAACCCCTTACAAGGCTATCTTAAGCCTGTAGGGTTGAGATAGGGGGAAAGTAGTGCAGGGATTGAATCTGTTATTTCAATTGCAGTGAGTGTATCTCTTTCACTAGCTGACTGGCAGGGCCCGCTGAATATTGAAAACTGAAAGTATGCCAGAGCTTTACGATCCGGTTTTCAGCCTACACCGGTATCAGCATCATATGACCATACTCCTTCGACTTGCCCTTTTCCCTTAACCGAAGAAGAAAAGGAAAAGTCTGAGATACCTAACTAAAATACCATTTCTAATTCAGATGAAACAGCAGTTAAAATACAGGTACTAGTTCAGGTTGATTGATTACTTGTGTCCCTGGTCTTAGACTGAGGATGAGGTCTAGGGAAAAGTTTCAATCCCAAAGTCACCATCCAACTCTGCATCTATTCTCGCAACCCTCAAGTTTCCAGCCGCAGGCGCAACCTCATCTTTTGGAAAATCGATTTTTGAGTTCGGTTCCCGTTTGAAACATTTGCTGCCTTTCTGAAACTCACTCCCCTGCATGCTCGCCCAGCGCCTTAAGCCCATTTGCTAGGCAGGATGGATCATATCCTCGCTCGAGCAGTGTCTTGCCGCTGTTGTCATAGAGGTATGCCACACCAGTCTCAGCAAACAGCTCTCTGTCAGAAGATTTGGAGTAGTCTGATGGCCAGTATGTGTCTAGATCTTTTTGGCCTTTAGAAAAATGCCTCGCTTTTGGAAAGAGTCGCGATCTATGCAATGGCTTGACTCATGCATATACACACTCTCTTTAGCGTCGCCGTAGACTGCAATTATGTTTCACGGGCCCACGCGAAGGCCTCCAGCAGTTTTGTCCTCAAAAGCAATCAGATGGCGGACACGGCTCCGCAGGCCTGCAGGAACTTCGACCGAACTTTTCCACCACGGTGTCCGCTGAATGCTGTGCATCATTGTAGCGACAAATTGCCCAGGGGTCTTGATCAAGGCAACCCGAGTAGGTCACATTGAAAACATCAAGACGGTCAGCTGTACAGTAAACTCTTCCGTCACTCCCCTTTCGTTGTGCCAGCGCCCAGCAATAGTCGGGAACACCTTCGGACTTGTCCCATTGAGTAACTTCTGTGGGGTTCGCCCCCGAGATAGGATCGGATCCAAGCTCTCCTAACCCATTTGGGAACAGAATTCCCCTGATGCGTGATTTTGTTTGTTAGCTATTACTGTTCATCTCGAAATTCAAAAGAGACATGAGAAAAACACTCGGTACGGTGCGTACGTACTTATGCCTTATGAGCTTTGGTGCTACCTTGTTTGGGCACCCAGTCTTTGCATCCCATAGTCTGTTCAGGATGGGTTGAAGAAGGTTGAGCTGATTCCTCATACAGCTTGCATCTAATGGAGGTTGGGCGTTAATTTTCAAATATACTACAACCGTCAAAACCGCTCTCGATAGCCCGTCCATATGTACCGTCGCGCCTCTCAAGTTCTTTTGCAGCCGGCTCATCAGCTACACAGGTATCGGCAGCAACAGCATTTATAAATTCATCCATTGGGATTCCAGGGTAGCCGTGGAACATCACTACTACCAGCATTTTGATAGCATCTACTTGTCGAAATGAGCTACCGAAAAGGGCAGAATTCCCCTTGAAATGTTGAACAACAAGGCCTTGGTCGAATGCTGCGACAAGAAGATCAGAGATCGTAGCCCGATCACCTGATGGGAGGCGGGCGAGCAGGTTCATGGAGGCTTCTCTGTCCCTTTCCGCACTGGCACAGTGACCTACAAGCCAGGGTTCAGGAATCAGGACACTATATCCTCTCTCGCATTAGATAACGCCGGCTTCGTGTGTATCTTCCCCCGCGAACCCAACAAATTCTTGGGGCAAAAGGAATCATGGAAGAATTAGGGGGGGCCCGGTGGAGGGGGTAAGACTGGTTTCTCACATCATCGAAGGTAGCGTTATAGATACTAAAATTTATCTCCGCAATAGAATCGGCTCTCTGGCTCATAAACACTGCCGCCCCAACGCAACGTCCGATGGCATTCCTCGGCGATGAACTGCAGAAAAAAGGAAGAGAAGCAGAGTTAGCGCAAAAGCAATAGATCATAACAAGGAAGAGGAGAAATATTTACTATCTTCTTCAGGCCATTTTTCTAAGCTGTACCTTTGCGGGGCAGGTAGAGCAGCGGCGATTTCTGCATTGAAATCTCGAACCACTTTCACAAGCGGATCTTTGATAATCTGGGCGCCTGCCAATCCAAGCAATATAAATTGCTACAGCACCGTGACCACCCCCATTTTGGCTACGATCTTTTTCCTACTCTTTCCCCGGCTGGCTATGCAAAAGTATATGATAAATAGGCACCCCCAATGAATCTCAAGATTTCGAAAGTGGAATGAGAGAGTGAGTGCAGAGATCGACACAGGGCAGGAGGCAAGATTAGAGAGCGGGCTCAGCTGAATATAAATGCTCTTTGCAAAGGGCCTGGGTGCAATGATGAGCTGACTTGTTGCTAGCCATCGTGCAAGATTGCAAACGGCTGTAATGATCAGGGGGTTCAGCCTCTCTATTATTAGACATAGGGAGATAGTTGTAGCCATGGCAGTTGACTCCACAAGGTGTTGATTTTAAATGAATTAAGAGAACAACGATGTCACTCTCCTGAAGACTTCAAAGATTACCATATCAGACCGACGGGTCGTTGAATCTGTAGAAAACTGGGGATATGCTTCTTCAGCGCGCTGACTTGCCTTGTAATTGAAGACTCTCAGTATAACTAAGATATATTCAGAACTTATATACATCTATATATACTAGTAATATAGACAATGAAAATGTCAGAATGATAGCTATGATGAATCTGATGATAGTACAGAGTAGTAGATTCTTCAGAAACAAGGTAAAATTTATATAGCAAAGTTGATTTATTTTTTTAAGTTGATGATGATAATTTAATGCATAATAATTAGTAGAAGTTATAGTTTTATAGAGTTATCATTCATCTCTATTTTTCTCACATATTTTATCTTGAAATAATACTATTTCTATATTCTTTCTGTGTTTCGTTTGTTGCACGGCACTGTAAGAATGCAAAAGAGACTAAAAGTAAGAGAGAAGTAATTTATATAGCTAGCCAGTTGAGCTTGGAAATACATATAAAAAGAAGGCAAAGAAAATACAATGGATATCTGATATCTTGATGGTATTGACTGAAACTGGCATTCACACGTTCGCAATATCGCACGGAATTCTGTCCCACAAAAAAAGGAAAAAAGAAAGAAAAAGAATTTCAGACAATCTTAACAAAAGGTTACAATAATGATCAAGTCAATACCCGTATCGTATCATAATTGCCATTTGGAATTGCAATTGCACTGCAATGGTATATTTATGAAGTAAGAAACAAACCATAACAGACACGCACGCTGGGATGGATATAAGCTAAGATCTATTGCTACAAATCAACAGTTTGCATGTACGGAGCTTCGCTTGACTTCCTAAGTTCCAAATGATGACTCCACACCGCCCACAGATAGTGTTTTATCATCCTCTTTCTTGTTGCTCAATTTGTTGAAATTTCGTTTTCATTGTTGGTTGGTAACGTTGAAGGGGTGGGGGGTGGGATGTAGGGTGCAAAGGCGACTTTTTCTTTCGCGAGCTTCTGGGTGAATGGAAGCACGGTTTCTGTTCGTTTTCGGTAATTGATTTGATTTTTATTTGATTTGATTTCTATTATTATGTTTTCGGATCCGAAGGGGATAGATGAATGGCGCGGGGGCTAACACCATCGGCGTAGGTATCGGGCGAGAGGAGTTCTACTTTTGTTCAATCCCGACCCCGACTACGATTGTTGTTGTTGTAATTGCGTCGCTTTTTACCGGGTGAGAATGTTCAGGTAATCGAGGACGATAAGGGTCACCATACTGGAGATTTAATGTTAGCGTGGGGTCACCGGGCGGAGACGCAAGGTTTAAAGACGGAGTGGGGCGGGTTTCTTCCTCTAGCCTCTTTTTTTTTTTTTTTTTTTTTTTTTTTTTTTTTTTTTTTTTTTTTGGAAGAAAGAGGAATGAAAAAAAAGAAAGAAAGAAAGAAAGAAAGAAAGAAACAGATTCCAAAAAGTTAAACAGGGGGAAAACTTACGCGTGCGGTGCGATTCGAACGTAATACGTTCCAAACCCGCGATAGAATCTCAACCAGCCCTCATCCCTAATGACCTTCTTTGCACAATCGAGGACACCCTTGTAGGGAAGCTGGCCCGTCTTTGGGTCCTTCTGCTGTTTTTGCAATCGCGTCTTGATAAAATCAAAGGGGAGGGACATGAAACTGGCAAAGAACCCCGCGATGGCGGAGGCGGCGAAAGTTCGGTTCTGAGCCGATAAGTTCGTGTGTGCCTGCAGCTGCGACTTGGACTCGGCGAAGAAAGTCAATTGCCCAAAGTTCAGAGCCATAGCGCGCACCACGGTGGGTAAGGCCCCGGCCCAGAGGGCAGTGATACCCTCCGCCTTGGAAATGCGGGCTAGAGCGTCAATGACGGAGCGGTAGTTTGCTCTGCTTTCCTTTGGTTTGAGGCCGTCCGACTGCATACGGATTAGGGCTAGGTCAGCGGGGTTCCCGATCATGGCCGCCAGGCCACCAGCTCCCAATCCCGCTGCGGCGCGTTCGGCAAAGGTGACTTTCTTCCCCGCGGCGTCGGCGCGGGCTTTCAGGGAGTTCGCAAAAGTGTCGAAAAATCCCAGGCGGGCGGTGGTGTAGACGGCCTGTCGAAGCAAGCCGGCCGATAAACCTGTGTATAGGTCTAGGAATTTGCCTGAAGCTATGATCTGTTTTGTGATGCCTAGCGCTGTAGGACGGGGTCCTGTCCGGGCACCTTCGCCGGCGAGCTGCAGGCGCACCTTTACCATGTCAATTGGCTGGATGACAGCCGTTGCCGTCATACCGGATAAGCCGCCATTGATGAAGGGTAAGGCGGGGCGGATGTAAGGGTTATGGAAGAGGGGGGTGGATTGTTGAGAGGCATCACTGGCCGGCTTGGGAGAGGAAACAACCATGGCTGGCGGAGGGGATGAGATGCGCGTATATATATATATATATATATATATAAAGAGAGAGAGAGAGAGAGAGAGAGAGAGAGAGAGAGAGAGAGAGAGAGAGAGAGGAAGGGGGAAAGGGTTGGTCTGCTCCTTTATCTACCCTTCTTATATATGGAGAAGCAGTCAGTCAGCGTCAAGGAGGGGTATTGGTACCGCGATAGGGGAGCTTCTCCGAATGCCGCTACCCAAGCAGTGTTGGTGAGAATGACAGCAAGATGGACAGCCAGATGGACAGACGGGTAGAAGCACTGGGTTTGGATATGGGGATATGGTAGGTAACTCACGGTAGGGGAGGTTGCTCTCCGCACTGCAGAGAAGAGGAGAGGAGGGGCGGAGGGGAATCGGCGCAGGTGACGGAATCTCCCGACAGGTGACACCCCCCGGCACGGCACAGCACAGCAACGATGAGAGGATGAATGAGGGAGTAGCGAGACTGCTGTATCACATCAGTAGAAGAGTGGTGTATATATAATATATATATATATATATATATATATATAATACGCGCGCGAGAGAGAAAGAGATGAGTAGAGATGAAGTTGAGGTTGAAGGAAGGTTGAGGGGAGGAGAAGAGGCAGAGGCAGGCACGAATAGAAGCCGGGGGGAGAGAGACCAAGAGCTAGCTAAAGCTACCCTAACTTACCCTAACTACCAGAGAAGAGAAGAGGAGAGAACAGAGAACAGAGAATAGAGAGGAAAAAGAGAACCTTATTAGTTACGCTTCTTGATGACAACTTATTAGGGTAACTAGCCCTGGCTTGGAGGCTTGTTTGCTTTTTGTCCAACAGCCAGCACAAAACAAGTCGTGCGCGTGTAGTTAGTTATCTCTCCCTGAAACTATCTCATTGTCTTTTTGAATTAAAATAAATCATGGGATAAGACAGCAAGAATCAAGAATGTATCTGTACCCTCTGCAATAAGTACTTCCACAGTACGGAGTACAACAGAGTACAATTCCTCTCAAGCCAACGAACGAACAAGGCTGGACCAATGGACACAGTGCGGGGTAAGTTAAGTTAACTAACTATAAAAGCAGGCCATGATTTTGTACACGGCGCAAATTCCAAGAAACCAGCAAATCATGTAAGTTAACTTATAACAAACTAACTACATCTGTAACTATACATATAGACTGTATACAGATGGTAGTTAACTATTAGCAGGGAGATATATCCGATATCCTGGCTGGCTGGCTGGCTGCTTGTAATCTGGGTTATCTCTATCTCTTCTTATTCGTATTCCTTGTTTTGCTTTTCATTACTACATTCGATTAGTCTGTGTTCATTTCTTGAATAAATAAGTTGTAACTTACTTAATGATTAAGTTAACTAATAAGACTAATAAGTTACAATGATAGTTATCCTCTAGTTAGAGATGAGGTCCCCACGTCGTCGTCATAAACCAATTAAAATATCTTAATGCACACGAGCCTCTGTGTGCAAAGACATTGCAGAGCTAAGCTCAAAACAGAAGGCCCTGCAAGATTGATTTTACAGCTTATTATTAATAATAATAGAAGGGATAGAACTGTAAAAACATATAGAGATTCATTTTTCAGTGCAAAAGCATCAGCTAACTAAGCAAGGAAAAAAACAAAAAACACCCCACCCTGCCCTGCCAGCTCATATGTCATTCTCAAGAACAGTTTGAATGATCTGAAGAAGGCTTGTAATAGTTCTGAATTTGATCTTCAGAGCTGCATTCTCCTTGCACAGAGTCTCATTTTCAACACAAAGAGTCAAAATCTCAATATCATAATCATCAACTGACTCAACACTTATCATCTGTTTTTTCAAGGCTCTAGCCTCTGTATTCTCAGCTGCAGAGCACTTCTTAAATGAACTCTTCTTCTTAACTTTCTTTCTCTTTTTATTCTTCTATTTCTTTTCTTTCACTTTATCATTCTTCTTACTGACATTGACTATATATAACTATTAGTTAATTGTATTGAAATTGACATATTTTATATTAAAAAGTGACTCACTTCTATAATAAGAGCAGCAACTTTCAGTGCTATTATAATAATAACTGACACAAGCTTTATAACACTGATTCAGAGCATTGATACAGATGATAAAAGAGTCTTCTTCTCTGACACAGTGACTGCAGAGAACTGCAAAAACAGTATCACAGAATTATAGAAGAAGAGCTTTATAATTTGTATTGATTTTTATATTGATCTGACAACTCTCTCACAAGACTGACTCATGAGTATAGAGTAATTTAATGAGAGTCTGTAGCTTCTTTAATGACTTCTCAGACATTCTTTCAGTCAAATGAGTCAACAGTTAACTTAATGATCTAGAACTGACAGATACAGCAGAGACAGGCGCAGGCACAGACACAGAACTGAGAATGAGATTAACAGCTAATAGCTCAGCAGACTGAACAAGATTGTTGAGAACTGTGCTGACTGTTAGAATTGCAATTTTCATCATTTTGAGAATCTTACTTACAATGAATGTGTTTCAAGGTGTTATTTTCAGCTATAATAATAGCATTGATGATTTTTTGAACTTCTGATGAATTAATAGAGATAAATGACATGATTTCTAAAAAAAAAAAAAAAAAACAGCTGACAGAGATGAGAGATGAGAGATAAGATGAATTCTTTAAAGAGAAAGAAAACACTCTGAGATTCATTCACTTCTTCTCATACATGTGTTGACAGTCACAAGAATTCAATATTTCTTATCACATGATGTAACACAGATCTCAATAACACAGGCCTCAGAAGATTCTCAATCTCTCAGATTAAAAATGTCATTATATTAAATCTGAGCTGTATAGATTAATATTCAGATTGTTTTAATACCTTCTGTAGACTGCTAACTACTCATTCTCAGATTCAGTGATTATAATAGAATCAGCTGCAATAGATTTGTCAAATTCAATGATTGAATTCAGTGAATCTGCGAGCAGAACAGGTGAAGAGAATGATAGAACAGAGAATGAAAAACTTGCAGCAATGAAGAACAAGTGAATAAGCAGATCAAATGTGAACTATGAAAAAGATGAAATAAAGAGTGAATGAAGCTATATAGAATATAGATTAGCAGAGATCTATAAAAAGAAAAGAGATATAACTTAGTTATCTGTTGACTTTGATGTCTTGTATAATCAATCTCATGCATCTGCATGCTTCTGCTTACTTCATCATCAGGTCAGTGAAATCTGAAATAATCAAAGAGTTGTTCAAACAGAAGACCTTGATATATTTTAACCTGTGAAATTGCAACATATGTGAGACCAGCCTGGAATTCAGTCTTGGAAATATCAAGGACAGCCTGATCAAGTGATAATTCTTGAGATTTATAAACAGTAATGACATATGCAACTGTAATAGAGAACTGCATGTGGCTGCAGGCTTGGTTAATATGAGAAAAGTCATGACAGCTGTGAAAGATAGGCACAAGTTTAAGGTTCTTTCATTTCAAATAAGCAGGGCTGTCATATTTGTCAAAATTGATTAGCAGTGTAAATGAAGAATCTTGACAGAGATTCTTCACATCTGAACTTCATATAATATTATGAAGAGTCTCAAGAGCATTGTTAATAAGGCTGCAGTCTGTTCAAATATTCTGTAGAAGCATGATTTAACAGCTGATAAAGAGAGAAAGATTCTGATGAAGATTGTCAGCCTTGTCAGAATCTAACTGAGAAGTGTCTATATTAACATTTGTGGCCTGAATATTAATAACAGGTTGTTTACAGCTTTGAATAGCATTATTATTATAGATATGAACATGGCACTTCTTTGCATAAATGTGAATTGCATTCTCAAAGACTGAGGCTTCATGAGAAATAAGAGTCTGCACATGCTTTGAAAGAAACTCTCAATCATTCAGAGTTAACTGATCAAGATGAAGATTTTTCAAGATCTCATAGAACTGGCAGCTGATAGCATCTTCACTCACTTATTGTCAAATCACAGTAAGTTGAATGATTTTACTAAAAGCTAAGTAGATTTGACAGCTCTGAATGTCTTCTTTATAATCAATACACTCATTATAATAGAGTGAAGTTTGAAAAACAGATGAGAGCTGGTAGAAATCTTCACTGAGAATGACACTGAGATCATCAAAATGAGCATTCTTATGAGAGAATATGTAATGACAGGCCTGATTGATTCATGAGAGTTGCTGTAAACTAATCATTGACTTTTCATCAATTAACAGATAGTGAACATTCTTAAAAAGGGCCTGCAAAGATCAAAGATTTTGAGGATTGAGTGGTTCATATGGCATGTTCTTGTGTATGAAGAGCTGAAATAACACATGCAAGGTTCAAGTGTTAATGAAGTAAGCAGCTACATCAGTTAGTGCAGCTCAAATGATTGAGGTTGAGAGATCTTGAGCCTCTGCAAGATTTTGAAGAGTTGTAGACAAAATCATAATCAGGTAAGTTTTATCAGTATCATCTTCATCATCTAGATTAATTAGTAAAGGATTCAGGGACTCACTGTTAAGAATCTCAGTATAATGATAGAGAATAGTGTCATGAAAAAGGTGTTGATCAGAGTCTAGAGTCTTGAATGAGCTATGTTCATGAAGAGTAGTGTCTGTGAGAAAGTTGATCTTCATATTGTTTCAAAATTCTGTATCAAGGTTGATATAAGTGTCAACATGAGAGCTTCAATCATAGTTGAAATCTAAGAACTGATGACCAAGCTGTTCACAGTTTCAGGTGTTAATGAGGTCATCATTATCATGCTGTGAATTTTGATAAGTGAGCAATGCTCAAGAGAGATCAAGCTTCTCTTCATTATTCTGATCATCTTCAAACTCAGGTTCTGATTCTGGCATGTCTTCATCATAGGCATCAACTGAGTGATTATGAGAAAGACAGCAATAATTAAAGATCTCTGTAAAAGAGAGTCAAGAAGTGAGAAGATCAACAATCTTGAGATCTTCAATTTAATGAAAAGAGTGATAAAGAAGAAGTTTGACATGAGCATAGTTCTCTGAATCAGTTTTAAACTGATAAACAGGAAAGTAGATCAACACT